TCTGGGCTGCAAACAGCTCTTCAGCCTCTGCTAAGTGTTAGCAGGGTCCTGTCATTCTGTACTCTTCAAAACTACTTTTTCTCCATCTCATAAATAAAGAGATGCTATCAGGTAGGGGAAAAGGGAAGGGGAAGGGGAAGGGGAAGGCAAGGCAAGGCAAGGCAAGGCAAGGCAAGGCAAGGCAAGGCAAGGCAAGGCAAGGAAAGGAAAGGAAAGGAAAGGAAAGGAAAGGAAAGGAAAGGAAAGGAAAGGAAAGGAAAGGAAAGGAAAGGAAAGGAAAGGAAAGGAAAGGAAAGGAAAGGAAAGGAAAGGAAAGGAGGGATTTTCCATCTGAGTAGGACTTGGCAGACATGCTGAAAGCTTGTTTGAAGGCCCATACCACATACCAGGTGGTGGGAGAGCAGAAGGAATGCTGTACTAATTCTCCCTCCAGCCAGACTCATGTCCAGAACAGATTTTTCACTGCAGATGAAATGGCAATATTCTGCCATGTAACTATCTCCTGAGGGGCCCTTAAGCATTCTTTAACTTCAATTTAGAGTTAAGAGGTAAGTCTGGCCTGTATGGCTACAAAATTTAACCACAAAAGGGCTGGAAATTCTGCTCTAGCAGACATTTTTACAGTCCACAAAGGAGCACAGATGCTGACAGACAAAACCTTACTATAAAACACTATGACGATCCAGTCATCAAGAAGTTATGATACAGCCCATCACAATGTAAAATATTTGAGAATGCAATTACTTTGCAAATCTGCAGAGCAGAGCTAAAGTGAAAGAATAAAATGCTTGCTTCGGCTTTAGCTGTGAAATGCTGACTCTGCACTTTAACTTTAGTCACTACCTAGAGCTTCAGTAACTGCTTTGAAATCTGTGTGCAGAGAGGAGGAGAAGGAATGCATTGCACTGGTGCATGACTGAATTCTCAGGGAGTTTGAGAACTGGAATCTCTGATCCAAGCAGTTAACCAAAATTTCAAGACTTGGCAGCTGTTTGTTTTCTGAAAGGAAGCAATTATATGACCACAGCAGCAGAATGACAGTGCAGGCAGAGAGCAAAGAGTAAACCTTTCTTAAATTCCACCTCTGAATTTTTATGATCTCGTCTCACAAGAAAAAGGAGAAAAAGGAGGTACTTTAATACTGTCACAAAATTCCTACTAACTTGAATAGTAACAAGTTGCAGTTCTCTCACAGTTATTTTTTGGAGCTAAAATACTGCTACATTTGCTCCTAAGTCTTCAACTCAGAAAAAAACAGTATTAGCAGTAAAAACACAGTAACTCATACTTAAGCACTCTCAGAAAGGCCAAACCTAGTCTAACACTTTTTTTTTTTTTCTCCTTCAGACTCACTCATTGTCTTCAGGTACAAAACAGTGTTAGTATAACTCAGATACATGGGAGACACAATCTCTTACAATAAAAGCCTTTCCTGCTCTTAACTAGCATCCCCAGAGATGTTGTAAATAATGTAGAAACACTGTGTCTCATGCTCTTACTATTTCTGTCCTTGAGCATCTCAGTCTACAACCAGGTTGTTTTTTTGCTTTTTTTTCTGCACTGTTACACAAATGAGAACTGAGGGATTGCTTCTTGTTCAGCCACTTCCACCAAACAGAATTCAGCCATGGCAGGGTATGAGCTACAACACAGGAATAACTAAGGGCTTATAGCAGAATCATGTGAGCATTTAATAGCTTGTAAGTGCCTTGAATGATGAACTCTAGAGCATTTGAAGAACTATCTGTCCACCTACCAAAGATTACTCAGTCCTACAAAATCTTGGCTTATGTTTTACAAGGAATTTCTGCAAGGTTACACACCTGGAATAAAATTTAAAGTGAATGAAGCATTAAGGACCTTTTAAGTGTCAGCTTGTTTGACATTTTTTCAAGCATCTAAAATGTCTGCTATTAGATGCAGAGCTAATAGGCAGAGTTGGTTGTTTTGGTTTCTTCTTAAAGTGTCTGTGATGCTTTGAGAAATAGTGACAGAGAGAGATTTAAAGATTAATTATAACATTGCTAAATGTTAATTTTTTGAAGGCAAACAACCCTCTAATGATTTTCAAGTCTAGATGTAGCTTAGTTCAAAGGCTAATATAGACTGTGATACAAAAAGATCATATACTAACCCACACAGGAATTGCTGTTTAATATATGTATTACAGAAGGGCTTTAGGGACTTAATAATAAAAAACCAGGACTGCAATACTCATAATACTCTATTTTAAAATTTAGCAGAGTTTAAACTATTAAGAATAAAAAAATTGCTTAGGATTAGTGGGGCAAAAATGTTGTTTTTCTATACATTGAATTTAACAGAAAAAACTAGTATTTGACTGACTAAACAGTCAAATGGGGTCAACAATGACAGTGAATACATTTAAGAGGGTATTTATAGTTTAAAATTTATTGGGCAATATAATGACATTCACAAGAAGATGATGGAGTACAGGGCAGTTTTTTTCAGGATTCTCTGATCCTTGAGAAGGTAAAAAAAGAAGAAATGGCAAAGTACTCGTACTAGGAAAAACATGGGGTTGTGTGAAGACCAACGTAAAGGTACCTTACCACCAACAATATTAATTTACTTCCCTCTCTATTGATGTTATGTGAGGATGAAAAATTATTAATATTCTTGTCTATCTAGAAAAATATTTAGAGATGTTTATTTTTAAATATTTTCGGTGCTATTTTTATATCTGTAGCATAAAGAGAGAATACTTACTGCAATTGTTAGCTAGTTGTAAGACAATTAATACAAAATTCTTCATATCTTACCAGTTGCCTATTTTTTAAATTTTGAAATTGAAGATTATTTTCTTAGTTGAGCTCTAATAAATGCAGCATATGTGCATTGTCTTACTAATTAGTATGCTTATGTAAAAGTGGATGTACCATATTTATCTTGATTTAAGATAGGAAGATCCCAGATGAGCTTCCTTGCTGTTTCTGTGCTTAAACAATGCAGAGAAAATGTCCTGGGATCTAATTTTCCCTCCTTGCTGAATTGTGGTCATGACAACCATCTGTACAAGGATAAGCTTCACAGTATTGTCTTGTTCAAGGGTATCATTTTGATGTTATGTGGTGTGATACAATAAGGTAATGGCAAATAATACTGTGCAGCAGTTGGTGCTCTCATCTACATACACTGCCGACTTACACTTTTGGTTTTTGTGTGTTTTCATTTGCTTGTTTAATATTTATGTCAACATTGAGGCAACAAAAATATAAAAAACACTAATTTGCAAAAAATATATTAACGTTTGAGAGAAGGACTAAGGGAAACGCCATTGTTCTGACTCTTCAAATTTATCCATCTCTGCTGGGTACTGGGGAATTGACTGAAAAGGAAGCTGTGATGTAGCCAATTATTGATGTTTATTCTGTTGCTGACTAGAAAGTTTGCTTTTTAACTTAGCTTAACACTGGTTCTCACACAACCTTTGTGATTTAAAACCAAGAATTTGTATGTAGATATACTTTAGATTGAGTATTTTTTTTCCTCCAGCTGGCAACCCTTTGCCTTCAGCACCAACAGTACCTGACTGCTGTTCATTGTACATGAAAATCTGTAAAGAGCAACCAGGGCCCTTTGTGTTGTCCAAGTCTGTTTTTAGCAGAACATCATGACCCCAGAACAGTGCATCCAAGAGAGAACTACCCCTCAAATTTGTATTTAAAACAACTCTGAAAAAGGGATTTTGATTACAAATACTACTTTATTCTGAAGTAACTTGGAACTGGCCAGACTAAGCTGTACTCCAGTGCTCTGCCCAGGCTTCCCTCCCTGTGTCCTTTTCCAGGGATGGCAAGCTGCTCCAGTACCTTAGTTTCAGTGGCTTATCCGAAGAGGGAAGATGGCTTTGAGAACTTGGGCAGTTTGAGCAGAGACAGATTGGAATCCGTGATTCACCATCCAGCCTTCCGAGCTCAGCCATTGCTGAGAGTGGCACCAGTTGGTGAAATCTGCTCCAGGGAGCACTCGCACCCTGGGGTTGCACAGGGCAGAGCTGCACACAGCAAAGGCCCCTCCATGCTTAGGACAGGCTTTACAGTGTTTATAAACAAGTATTGGGCCATTGCCCTGCTTAGCCATGCAGGCCGTAGAAACGGGCCCAGTACTTGAGTCTGAACAACTCAAAACACAATGATGGAAAACAAAAGGTATTTCCGAAATCAGAGAATTGCTAGCGTTGGGAGGGACTTCTGGAGATCATCTAGTCCAACTCCCCTGCCAAGGCAGGGTCACCTAGAGCAAGTAACACAGAAATGCGTCCAGGTGAGTTTTGAATGAATCCAGGAGGCGGCTCCATGGCCTCCCTGTTCCATTAGCTTAGCTAATACAGCTGTTACTAAAAACTGGAACCGAGGTTCAGCTCATCTCCTAAAATGGCAGCACCCCTTAGTCAGTGCAGAGGAGCACATTGCCCAGTCCGCTGCGCACGGGCCGGCGGCGGCAGCCTCCGGTACCCGGCCCGGGCCTCGCCTCGCCAACCACCGCGGCAAGAAGGCGGACCCAGGGTCATTCCGCACGGCAGGACCGACACCGCCACGGCGGGAAGCTTTTCCCCGAGCCCGGCCGGGGGTTCTGCGGAGCGGCGGAGCCCGGACCCCGCCACATCCCCTCAGGTGCGGCGGGAACAATGAGCGCCCCAGCCACAGCGAGCCCCGGCGGCGCGCACAGATCCGCTCCGGGCGCGCACGCCTAAAGTAGTCCCTCTTTGTTCACCGGCGGCCAAGGCTCGGCTGCGCCCGTGTCCTTCCGCCGCGGCGCCCCCGCGCCCGCCCCCGGCGCTGCCGGCGCAGGCGGGGCCGCCGGGGCGGGGCCGCGGCCCTTTGTGCTCCCAGAATGCACCAGCGCCTCCTCCGCGGGAAACAAAAATGGCGAGGGGCTGCGCTGGGGCTGGCTTGCCCGTGAGGCGGGTCTGACCGTCCCTCGCCGCCTTCCGCCTCGGCTCCGCGCCCGGGGGCCCGCTGCGCACCGAGCGCCCGGCCGCACCGCGCCGCGCCGCCGAGGGAGGCTCCCGAGCTCGCCGATTTCCCTGTATGAGGCGGTTGGCACCACTGGAGAGACCGAATGAGGTGAGGGTGGGGGGGGGGAGGGCCGGCCGGGCCGGGCCCGCGCGGTGGGGGGAGCGCGATCCCCGCAGCCCCGGCCGGCGGTGCCGCATCCCGGCGGCGCGGCGGGGAACGCGGCCAGGGGCCCGCTTCGGCGCGGGGAGCCCGAGGCCTGGGAGAGAGAGAGCAAGGGAGCGAGGGGGAGGGAGCTCCCTGCGAGCGGCCGCTGGCAGGCGAATGTGAGGGGTCAGCGGTGCTCCTCGGTGACCAAAACAAAGGGAGGGAGGCAGCGGGCCGGTCGGCGGGGCCGGGGGCTGCAGCGCTGAGGTGCCCGCAGCCTCGCGCCAGCTGTATTTCCATCTTCTCCTTCAAGGATATTGTCCGAGTAGGCTGCGTTTGCTCGAGTGCGAAGGGAACAGCACAAAGAGGTAGTGGTTTTCGTTGGTAACTTTGTATTTGGGGATTTTCTTTTTGTTTGTTTGTTCTGGTTTTTTTGTGTGGCTTTGTTTTCTTTTTTTGTTTTTTTTTTTAAAGTGCCTCATCTCTTAATTTCTGTCAGGCTTGACGATTTGAATATGCACAGCAGGCTTTTAGTCCACTTAAATGTGATAACTGTTGCTGGCTGAAAGGATATGCAGTAATGGATTTTCCTTTTTTTGGTATTGAATTCTGTGGAAAGAATGGGCTGATACCTCTTCCAGTGAAAGAGAACAATATGGGTCTGTGCTGGATGCTCTGGACGCTGATATTGGTGTTGAAATACGAGGGCTTGTCGCTCATCCATAAAGGATCAGAGTGCTATTAGAAGTAGAGGGCCTGCATAATTAAATGAAAGGCTCTGCCAGGAAAGCAGGGTAGCATTATGGTTGTTTCTGGAATTTGTGATAGGCCCAGCTTATCATAACTTTAAAAGGTCAAGCGTAGCAATGGAAAATGACATGGTTTTCTCCTGACTTAGTTTAAGGGAATGTGATCAATGATATACACTCAAACTGCCAAAACTGTGGGATAGTAACAAAAAGTTTCCCTCTTGTTTCTTTTTCTTTTGATCTGTAATCAGGTTGGTAAAAGTTAACCTGGTAATGTTTGTCCCTTTTTTTGAGAGCTCAAATTGCATTTAATTTGAAAACATTTGGGATTAAGAGAGAAGGTGAAAATGTTTCATTTCTGTCTTATTAGAATACAGGTTAATGACTTCATAGCTTTTCATTTAAAGGAGAATAAGGGAAAAAAAGATTGAACATATGAAAGGAAATGCATAATGTAGTGAAAATCAGAAGAATCTTTGCAAGGGGCTGCAAGCTGTGAAATGTGGATCTGTGCTGAGAATATAATGTAGTAATGTTTTCCACAGTTAACCCTTATTTTTTCAAGTAAAGGTGTGTGTCTTCCCAACAACTTGCCTTTTCTGTTCTGGAAAGAATTTAAAATCAGATGTAGATGCTTCTCATATGACTTAATATGGCTAGTCAGCAGGGTATATATATTTTTTTAATAGTTGAAAGAGACATGTATTGATAGTTAGTATGAAGTTATGTTTGTCCTTCCCTGCACCAGGAGATCAAGTAAAATTTATGAGAAGAGCAGCTGTAACAAATAAGTTCCAGTTAATTTCCTAGTAGACAGTGGACTTCAGTATTCCCTGGAGATGGGTGTGAATTAATGTAGAGGCACTGAAGCACCTTTTGTGCTCCTCATGTGAGTTGTGGGAAGGAGGCTCCGGGAGTGACTGGAGGCCAGCATGGACCTTGCGTTAGTTGTGACCTGGCTGCGTTTCTGTGCGAGCGGCCGCTGGCCCTGCTGCAGAGTTGGTTTCACCTTCTTCACAGGCCTTCCTTGCCGGAAATGGAGGGGAAGTGTGTCTGAGCAAAACACAACAGGAGAAGAATTATGAAACCACAGGTATGGCTGGAGGGATAATCTCCATGGAGGAGTGAAATCAAGATGCTTAACTTTCCTTGAGAGAAGGAGAGCTAATGATGAGGGCACTCCTGATCAGTCTGGAAATACTTCATTAACTAAATATCTTCCAGGGTATCCTAACTTACTTACATCTTAGATCTGATTATTGTTTAAATTCTGTGGAATGCTTATGGAGGTTGGAGTTCTTGCAGACTAACCTTAAAGAAGAAAACTTATTGTTATGGGATTTTGGTCACCTCTGAAATGCTTTTCCTTCCCCACTTCAGAGCAAGGTAGAATGTTGTCTTTTATTTCTTTCATTGCTGGGGTGCATGCTCACACTCCCTTAGGTCTGTTGCTGTGTATACTGGATTTGGATAATGTAGAAACCCAAAAAGCAGTTGCTGCATTCATAGGGGTGCTGAGGATACAATTAAGGGGAATTATGGTTGGAAAAGGTGTCTTGTGACCCAGTACCATTGTTTTCTCCCTGTACCTTCATGTGCAAACACATGATCAACCCCAGACAAATGGCTCTTGCAGTACATGACTGCCCTTTCTTCCCTACATACTGAATGTGTTATTCTGTAATGATCTTTTCAACTCTAATCCTTTCACTATTTATATCAAAGAGATTTAAAACACTTCTAGTTATTTAAGATTTCTTGAGGGAGAATGTGAGCAAAAATAAAATCACAAATGACTGTAGTATTATGAACATGGGGGCACACTTATGCTAGTGACCACCTCTTTTTAACAGTATGCATCAATGTTATTAAGGACAGTCGTATTTCACAGGGTCAGAGGGCAAAACCAAAGTATTCTATCTAGATGCTGAAGTTTTGTGTCACCAACAGTCACTTTCCTTCAGTCTTCTGCCTGAACTTCTTTCTGATGTGCAGCAGATTCATAGACATAACTGCTAATCAGATTAATAAGTTGCAGGGCCTCACTTAGTTTTTATTACCAGTTTTTTATTTCTTAGAAGCAAAATTTATTACTTTTGTCACTTAATGTGATGTATATGCTTTTGAAAGCATGGATCTATTTTAAAAACTCACAAATGAAGAAGGAAGCCCAGGCTAAGGTTGGCTGGGAGTCACTTTTGCAGGATTGTCTGGGGATCTGACAGACAGAGAGCAGAATACCAGCCAGCAGTGTCCTGTGAGCTAAGGCAAGTGGTATCCTGGGCTATAAGAACAGAAGTCTGAGGGGAAATGATTATTGCTTTCTATGCAAAATCATTAGACAGCATCTCAGCAGAATGCTGTGTTTGGGTGCTACCACTGCAAGAGACCTCAAGCTAGAGGAGTTTGGTGTAGGGCCACCAGGACAGTCAGGGACTGCAGCACTTGCTCTGTGACAGGAGGCTTAGGGAACCAGGTTCATTCAGCTTCAGGGGGGTGTAACAGGAGCCTTCCAGCTCCTGTGGGAAAATCAGTGTGATCCAGTTGGTCTCTTCACAGCAGTCCTTGGCAGGAGGATGAGAGGTAACATGCCTACATTGGGATAAGAGAGATTGTGATGGGAGAGGAAACATCCCCTCTCCAGGGTGGCAGCTCAGCAGTGAAACAGAGGCACAGGGTGCTTTTGTGGCCACCTGGTTTGGCCTCATGGCTGATGCTGTGCTGAGCGGGACTAGAGAATTCCTGAGAGCCTTTCTACCCTGAATTATTATATTATCCTAAACAACACTTAAAACTGAAAGTCATTTTGGTAATGTATTTCTTATCCACCAGTCATTGCTCTCTGCTTTTCTAGATGAGGGATGCCTGGATTATAGTCCCCTTGCCTTTCTTTGGTGCAGTTGGCTTCTGATTGTACCAGCATGCAAAACAGTGCAAAGATAAGGAGCTTCAAGTGTGTTTTGTAGATGATGTATGATACAGCACATTGGAAAAGCAATATTCATTTCAGTCTATGAAGTAGTGTAAGGGAGAGACTATAATCTCAATTTATACTTGATCCTTTCTTAATAAAAGTTAATGGCAATGTACTAATAATAATAGCCTGTTTATGTGTAATTGGAAAGTGACTGTTGCAATAACATTGGTATTATGAAAAGCAAAGTGATTTTTTTTCTTTTTTGTTACCTGTTGAATCAACCTGATCTGAGGTTTGGACCTGGGTTGGGGTGGAGGAAGTTATCCTAAGTTTGACTTGTCATCCTGTTAATTTTGACTGTCTTCTTGGCCCAGCAGAATCTTATCTGGGGGAGGAGAGTATGTTTGCCACAATGAACAGATAGTGCTTGGCATGAGACCTCATAAATAGTGGGGAGGCTGAAAGGGAGAAATGTGGCCAGGATCCAACATTTCTCCAGCTGTTAATGTAGGTACCACATCAGGTCACAGGCAATGTTGGAAACATGGCTTGAGCTTGGTTATGTGGAGCTGGGTAAACAGGCTATGATTATTACTCTCAGACAAGATTAATTTCCCTTTTTTGCTGTCTTCTAGCTGTGAGCACTTGTGTACCTGGCTTGTTTAGTCAGCAGATCTCTCTGTGAGGTACTTCAATTTGTTTTAAATATCAGTCAGTGAATTCATATTAAGGGAAAGAAGACTGAACAGGAAGTTGATGGAGAAGCCAGCTTGTTATTCCAGAGCTGCTGGGAAGGGAGCAAGCTGCTGTATTGGATAAGCCATGTGTGAAACTGCCATGAGTTTTGTGTGTTCTATCCTTGCTACACCTCCATTCCCCTCATTCCATGTGAATGTTAACTCCTGTTTTAAGGAGAGAAGACTGCTGGTATTTTACAGCATCTTACGTCTTCTCCATTTTTCTCTAATAAAGGGTAATAAAGGGCTAGTTTGCAACTTCAGACCAAAAAAAATTGCAGTTAATCAGCAGTAACATCATACTTCCAGAATCTGAAGTGATTATCTCTCCTTGTCATAAGGTCTTTCACTGTATTTTCCTTTCCTGTGGGATACCACATTTCCAGTTTTGAGGTAGATCCTAAAGCTCTGTGGGCTATCTTAGTACAATGCTCTGTGTGTGATTTCTGAGTTGTCTTCTGACAAGTCTTTAAAGTTCACTGTGATTTTTATTTACTAGGAATAAATGAGCTATTTGTCCCACTTGGAGTTTTCTCATTGGATTAAAATTTTTTTTAATGTTCTTTGAGCACTTTGTTGTTAAAACTTAGTATCTTTAATGCTTCCAAAAACTATCTGTGCTTATAGGATAGCTGTCATCTGTTACTGTTGCAGCATTTATCAATCAGGCTGCTCTTCTCGAAAAGTTTCCTGAAATTGTATGGATTGTTAGTGCACCTGACTGGTTCAGTCATGCAGTCTGGCAGTGCCAGCTGAGGGAGTTGGTGTCCCAAGTTGCTTGTTTGCATTTATTCAGTTGTGCTTACAAACAGTTCTGTTAAACAGATCAGTGAGCTGAGATGGCTGGGGAAAAAAAAAAAACCAACCTCCCGTCAAGGGAGTTTTTCTTAACAGAAGTTTTTTCACAGCAGTTGTTGAGACTGAAGGAGTACAGGAATATGAATGATTTTAAGAAAGACACTTGGAAACAAGAATGCTCAGTCTTTTGAATCTTCCAGCCTCTTCACATATTTTTCCCCCAGCTTTTCCACTTCTTCTTTCTGTAGGATAGCTGTAGAGGTACCAAATGAATACCAAAATTTTCTAACTACTGATAAAGAGATTAGAGTTACAAGTGAGTTAAAACTAACCAATCTAATTTTGATAAATACAATGCCAGGTGCAGTAACTGCTTATGGTTCATAAATCAGACTGATATGGGTAGTTGACTTTGGGAGGAAATTTGCCGTTCCTGTTGACAATAACAATTAATGTCCTGCTTCTGCAATGCATTATAAACTAATTTGTTTAGTAGATGAATCGAAGGTATCTGCCTGTCTTACCTGAGAATATCTGTGGCTATGGTCTAGACTCAGAGGTGAAAATCAGTGAGCATTTTCAGTACTTTGACATCAACTTCTCAAGAAAAGGTGGAAGTGCATTTCTATTTTCAAATGTATATCAGTGTGCAGACACATTTTACTGACTGCCACCAGTGACTTCTGAAAGATTGTATGGGTATATGAATACTTTTTTTTTGTTTTGCATTTTAAGTGCTAGAATAAAATACAGCACAACATCCTTAACATTGAGCATTAGATGTAAAGCCATACATACTGTTTGACATACAGTGTAGCTTGGTTGTGAAAGTTAAATGAGATAATGTTGATCTTTATATTGTATGAGATTTTTTTGGAAAACAGTGCATCTGATGGATATTGTGCAATTATAAGTTCTTGGAGAGAAGTGTTTAAGATGGTGGGGAAATTGTTATTTCAAGGTTACTAACCATAGTATATGTTAGGAAGGTGCCATGAAGCTAACTTTAAGGAAGACTGGAAAGCAAGTTGCTGGAAAATGTGGAACTTTAACCTTCTTGCTTGCCAATTTTAAAATTCAGTTCGCATTTGAACTTCCAACAAAAGTTTTATTTTAATGGTAGGTGTGACTTTTTGGCATTCCACTACAGCGGTTAGAGCTGTGACAAGGCAGATGGGCAAGTTAGTAACATTTTATGCATGTGGCTTTTACACTGGTCTGCACTGCATTTCTTGTGCAGTGGTTCTGGAAGATACTTCAGAGACACCTACTTTAAGTAACTTATGTCCTATTCATTAAAGTCAACTTGTTAAAACAGTTGGCTTCCTACTTAGTTGCAGTCAAAATCACTGAGGGAGTGTTTCCCTGGAGAGAAACTTCCTATCCATGTGGCAAGCAACTGTTTAGTTACTGTCAGCCTATTGTAATAAGTAACCCTATTTTCAGTGTGTGAGATAAACCATGAAGTGCCACAGCAGGAGCTGCTTCATGAACTGTTCAGTTGTCACTTCAGCACTGCCATCACTCACAAAGAGAGCAGTGTGGACAATGGAGAAGTGCCTGCTTTATTGGCTCACATCTTTGCTGGCTATCAAGGTTCTTCAGGGGCTGAAGCTGCTATTGTGTATTTATGTTGTTGTATAAGTGAATGTATAGATTCATTTAAGTGTTTTGTGTCAATAAATGATGCACTTTTTTTTTGTTGTGCTTCAGTGGTGTTATAAGCCAAACTTTTGTACTTAAAAGAATGCTTTTGAAGACTTTTTTAAAAATAAAGCTCACAGTTGTTTTTAAAGTGACAATCTGTACTGTTTATGGTAAATGAATTTGTGTCTTTTTGTGTATTTGGTACAAGATCTTTCACGCATTTCTTCAAGTACTGGAAAAGAAGAATAAACTTTCCTGACTTGTAGCAGGAACAGCTACCTATTTCTAGGCTAGCCTAGCTAGGCTAACCTAGCTTTTCCTAGGGTCTTAAACCCCAGAAAAACTTTTGAAAGAAAGTCTTTGAACCTCTCTGAGGGGAGTTCTGTCAAACTGGTTGTAAACCAGATGTTAGTGCCAAGAAAGCAAGAAGTGTCCTGGGCTGCCACTCTGCTATGGTAAACCGATTTTGAATGCTGCGTGTGTCCTGTCTCATTTGTCAGAGGTTTAGAGTAGAGCTGAGGAAAAGTAGCAGTAACTTGAATCAGCTTTTGTGTAAGAAGCAGCAGAATTGGTAAGATTCTTTATCTGGGAAATCTGGCAGGGTGTTGGGTCTGAACATTGTTACTTGCACCATGAAGAGAGAAGATGGAAAAGACAGTTTAATTTTCTGATGCAAGGATGAAGGATGTCAGATGAAGTGATAAGGTGTCAGCTGTGAAACAAGCCAAAGGATTTTTTTGGTCCTCTGGTCTTCCCTGGTCACCCATCTGAATATTTTTGTGTTTGGGATCAAGCAGGACTTAAAGTGGTGACCCAGTTGTGCATGAGGATACCAGAGGCTCATTATAGCTGCTCTTACTGTCATGTTACTGTTAAATGTCACATAGATTATAAATATGCTTAAAGCAGCTGATTTTCTTGTGCCTAACCTTGGTTTAAACAGTTTAGTGTGGTATTTGAAGCCATTACCTTTCCAGTTTTATTGTCATATTGTGAGTAGTAAACTCTTTAGAGAGACGATTCCTTTCTCCTTGAAGCTGTAGAGCAACTTCTCAAATATCTGTATAGCAATTCTCAAACTATATGTGGCACTAATTAGTTTACTGCTTTTGTCTCTGCTTTGAGATTAATTCAAATGTTTCTGGTGCTGATAATGTACCTAAGATATCTTGAGTGAGGAGAAACTGCTCTTCAATTGACTGTATCCTGTTTCATTCCCTGCTCCCTAACTGTGTTTACATCCTAGTTACACCTACCTGCAGTTTCTAGAGAAAATATATTTGGATACAGAAATGGTAACTGTATTACATAGTCTCAAATTCTGAGTATTACTTGTGATATTCTGCCTTGTGCAATAATATGTGGTCCTGTTTTATAATTTTATCTATTTTCCTGCTTTAATTGAAGTGTAGTGTCTGACAGCTAGTCTGACATAAAAGCATATCCACACTTACATGCAGATGGACTATATGTTGTGGAATGTATGAGCAAAAATGCTTATTGATACAAATAACTTACAATTTTGGGTTTCATATATGAAGAAAGGTTGCATGATTTGTTGTTTTTCTTTCCTCTCTGTTAGAGTAAGGGTGGAAAATAACAAGGAAAATTGATTTTACATAAGAAATTCCACATGTAGAAATTCTTCCTGTGCTGGAAAGCTCTACAGCAATGCTTAGTGGCATTGCATGGTTCTGTGTTGGAGTTACCTCAGTGTACCTTGAGCCAGCATAATGCTCAAGCTGTTCTCTCCCAACCAAGGTAATGCAGTTAGAATTGGCATCTTTTTAGCTTCCTTGGAATTTTAGAAAACTGGCAGTGATTTGAGTTTTGTATAAGTAATCCTGTATTGAATGTTTTTGATGTGTTTTTCAATGCTTCTGGTGATTTTATGAAGAGTCTCTCAGCTGGGGATGAGCAGCCCCATCCTCATTTACATTTGTTGATTTCCTAGAACACTTCTCTTTTATGAACTTGTTCCTTTCAGAAATTGTACACTTACTTAGTAGCAGAGGCACTGCTACTAAAGATGTGTGAAGTTACAAAAGACAAGCAGGTCTCTTGCTGCCTGGAGTTGTGCTGGTATTTCCAGTGGTTCCCTTAAGCCAGTCGTGGTTACCTGCTCTCCTGCTTGCCCCCTCAGAGACTCCGCGGCGGCGGGAAATTCACTGGTCCAGAAGCGCTCTCCTTCACGTCGCAGCCACAAGAGCTCAGCGTCTCTGGCCAAGCAGTCGGTCCATGATGGACAGAAAGCCAAAAAGCCACTTTGTAAATTTGAGGAAGGTCAGGATGTCCTAGCTAGATGGTCAGATGGCTTGTTTTATCTTGGAACTATCAAAAAGGTAATCACATTTTTTAACTTCACTGGAGTCTTAAAGTGTCGCATACCATTGAAAAGTGCAGTATTATTGGCTCGCTTATATACTATTAAATACATTCTTCTGTTTGGTGCTTTTACTCATGGCTTCCACTGTATTTCTGTCTTTCAGATAAACAAACTGAAACAGAACTGCTTCGTTATATTTGAAGACAGTTCCAAATCCTGGGTTCTCTGGAAGGACATACAAACAGGCAAGAACTTCCATGAAGTAGTCATTGTTTGGTGTTCTATTTGTTTAGATTACTGGTATCTGTTAAAAAAGATTATTATATAATATTCTTTTATTCTAAAGAGTGATATAATTTAATGTGAACCAGGAACAAAAATTAAATAAGAAAAAAAATAATTTCAAACTACTGTCATTGAAGTTACTGTTTTGGGCTTTTGTTTGTCTGTTTTCACATGAGTGAGGTGGAGAAAAAAACCAATCTTCTAAAAATAATCTAAAAATAATCACTTCTAAAAATAATCACATTTGAGTTTGTTTGGGTGGGGGTGGATTAATTCTCTGCCCTAACAGAAAATTCCAGGCCCTAATTTACACCAAGTTTATGTTCTTTGTACTGTTTTCAGTTGAAATGACAGAATATGGAAAGAAACGAAAGCTTGGTGAATCTTATGTTTGAGCAGAGTTTGGACACTTAAAAGGATCACCATAACTGTTGCACATGAGAAACCATTACAGGTTTTGGAGTATTCATGTGATATAAAGAAATGTGTCGTTATCAAGTGAGGCACCCATCATATAATACCTTACTGGTTTTCAGACATTTCCATAGTAGTTAATGTTTTTATAACCTAATGCTAATGAAGCATAGATGATAATTTCTTCTGAAAATCAGTTACAGTTTCCTCGTTGTACAAACACAATGGAAATCTGCTCTGGTTCTTGTTGATTCTTGATGTTTAAGATTCTTGATGTCTACTTAAAGGAAAAGCTTTGTATTGTAATAGCAAAAAATCAACTGCTTTATTTCTTTAAGCTTGCAAAAAATGCTGTTCTACTGTGTAATACTAGTTTATAGTCTGACTCATTTATCCTAACTATCAAAATTTAATAAATGAGTATGAGGAAAATTTCAAGTTGATGACCCTTATGGGTCTCTTCCAACTCAGATAGTATTTATTTTTAGGTATTTTTAGCCTAAATTTGCATTCTTTATTCAGTTACTGGATTTTTATTGTTGATGTTGAGGAACCATGGACTGCATAGTCAGTAGGCAATACAAAGCCTATAGATATCTGATAGCTTATAAAAATAAGCTGTGATATAAATATTTATAACACAGTCTGTACAAAATGTCTGAATATCTTCTTATTAAGAAGTTTGTCACTGTAACAGTATGTTTCTACAATGCATGCATCTGTAAGTGAAATTATGCTGAAGGCTGTACATGTGCTAACTGTGTTTCAACTGCAGATATAATCTGAAAAAAATCACAATCTCATCTTTGTCTAGGAGCCACTGAGAGTGGGGAAATGGTCTGTACAATATGTCAGGAAGAGTATTCAGAAGCACCAAATGAAATGGTTATATGTGATAAATGTGGGCAAGGTAACTCGATTTTTTTTCTATTTACTGCATTTTAAAAGGTGTTTTGATTTGTTTCACAAAGGAGGATATTTGCCCGGCTATGACTGACTGCTCAACTGATCTTAAATTTTGTAGCCCTTAGTGGCTATTAACAGCTCAGTGAAAGATGATAATCCATGTTAAAGTGACTAACACCTGTTCTGTAAGTCAAGATTATTTTTTTCTACTAAGAAAATTTAAAAGACCATTTTGAATGTGTTACCAATCTTTTTGTTCACGTTTTTGGCACTTAATTGTGGATAACGCCTGATAGTTGCATTAAGTTATGTGCTTCTGGCAACACAGTTAATTCTGTGTAAGCTTTTGTCATTTTAATAACAGTTTCCTGATCATTTTTCATCCAGGTTACCATCAGCTGTGTCACACACCAAATATTGATTCCAGCGTGATTGATTCAGATGATAAATGGCTCTGTCGACAGTGTGTATTTGCAACAACAACAAAGGTGTGTTTCTAGGAAAAAAATGTTCATACATTTCATATTGCATGCATCTTTGTTTTTGAAATTGAAACGAGAAAAAGAAATGGCATATTTTCAGTGATTTCTTTTTTATCTTTGATCTGAACTCAAATTTTGTATGTTGAGAAGTAATGCTGTTTTAGAAATTGACAATATTACACTCCTAAACAAACATGCTAGTATAAAAACATAAACACACCTGAAAATATTTGACTTGAAAATTATGAAAACCTTTCTACAATCAAATGAAAAACTTTGAAAATTTTAGCTATAAATGACTGGTTTTTGTAAACTACTGTATCTGTTCTGGCCCAGAGAGGTGGTGCACTTAAGAAAGGACCAAATGCCAAAGCACTGCAAGTCATGAAACAAACGTTACCATATAATGCAACAGACCTTGAGTGGGATGCAGGTCATAAAACCAACGTCCAGCAGTGCTACTGCTATTGTGGAGGACCTGGAGAGTAAGTAAATGGATAATATGTAAGAACTTTTCTCTACTGCAGCTCCAAACTTGGACTCTTTTCTTCTAGACTTCCTTGTGAACTCATTAGTTTTTGTTGCTGTTGTGTGTACATATCAGAAGCTGGATGCAAAGTGGGATTTTGAATTCTCTGTGCATTTGTGAAGTGTCTCACAGTAGGAAATATATTCATTTCTTTTCTTCTCCCGTGAAATATTTTGGTTTGTTTTAATTGTCATGTGGCCATCACAGATCATCACACTACATTCTGTAATGAGCAAGAAATTTTTTTGTCTTGCTACTTTTGATGTGTTGAGTCTGGATGAAATTGTTTGTTGATCATCTCGCAATTCTAGGTAGAATTTTTCAGATGTTAACTCAGCTCTGTCATAAGTCACAAAAATAAATGTACCTAGAAATTAGTTTATTAAATTTTGTTGGAATAGACAGCTCTCTGATTCTACCATAATGTCATATCCTGATTTTCAGTGACTGGCAGGGGAAATATTTTTTTTTTCCCCTCTTATGGCATTACAGAGTCGTCTGCTGGTTCTTTTTTACAAGAAAGGCAAAACCAGGACTTCTTAAGCAGGTAGAGATGAGTACTCTGGTGTCTGCATGAATGAGTGAAAGAATAAGATAGCATTGTAGATTTGAGGTCAAGGCAAGTAAAGAGTCCCACAAAAAGCAAAGTTTTTGAGGGTATACACACAGGACAGAGCTCTGGTTTGAGACTTGAACAAACGTGGCTGTCAGCTTTGCATGGTTCCCTTTCTCAAGGGAGAAGCTGAAAAAGTAAAAGGTGTAAACTATGAGGTTTCTTTTGGGGATTCAAGTAGTTGGATCCCCAGAACAAATGTTTGTGACTTAATGCAGAGTTGTGTTGTGCTTTAGAAAGTAACATGGAAGCTAAATCTAGTGTTTCAGAAGGAGCTTATATGGAGTTCCTTAATTCTTACTGAGAATTAAAAGGTGGATGTCAGAGTAAATGAAATGGTTTTTTTCTTAATTTAATAATTTAATTAATTCTTTTACTAGGCTATCTTTTATTATTCCTCTCTGTCTTTCCCAGTAATTCATTATGGAACTAAATGTTACTGAAATATCCATAGAGATGACTGTTTTATAAACTGTGCAAATCAGTTTGGGTCACAAGATCTCTTCTATTTAATTTAATTATAATGAAGAAACAATTTTCAGTAACTTTTTAAACACATCTTGTGTCTCTTTCTGTTGTTGAAGCTGGTATCTAAAGATGTTGCAGTGCTGCAAATGTAAACAGTGGTTTCATGAGGCTTGTGTGCAGTGCCTCCAAAAGCCAATGCTTTTTGGTGACAGGTAAGAAAATTAAGCTGTATTTTGTTGGTTGTATTTATTTAAAATATGAGGGAAATCTCACATATGAGCTTTTATTAGGGCATCCATAACACAACAGTTTTTTTCAAAAAGGGCTTGAGTTTTGAGTAGAAGTTTATACACAAGATAGCCTATGTTTGGGTGCCAGGAAAATGCAGTTCTTCATCTCAGTTGAACAGGATGCAGTGGTGGGTGGTGGAGAGGTGACAAATGGAGAGTTGGATTGCAGCTGTTACTGCCTTTACTTTGTGTGGCAATCCTTTATACAATAGGTGCAACTCTGTTCATGTGTGAGGAGTTGGGACAAAAAGACAAACAAAAGTGCTGGTCTGTGCTTTTAAAGAGGAACTTTGAGCACTTGCAGTAGGTGAAAGGCAAACGAGAAGAGAATCAAAGAGCATTTAATTCATTATTTGTTATAATTTTATGTGGGAGTTTTTCTGGAATGTTTGTATGAAGGAACTGAGTTAGGACCCAGGAATGTATGGATCCTTAAAATGCATATTTGCACTTTTGTGCTGGGCACATTACAGAGCAGGTAATGTCCAGTCACAGGTTGAGGGACTTCCTCAGGCAGAGTGAGGCAGTGGTAGCAGGATGAAATCAAAGTACCTTGTATCTGGCCCAGTAGGTATCAGTGCAGATTACAGAAGTTGCTAAAGTAAAGAATAAAAGGACTCACAAATACTACATGGCTGTGTTTCTAGCTTGCTTAACGTTCATTATTTTCATGATCAGGGTGTTTAAACACTGTGTGTATGAACACCCATCACCCAGACACGTGTACATATACATTTGTATGTGTTTTTAGGTTTTATACGTTCATTTGCTCAGTTTGCAGTTCTGGACCAGAATACCTCAAACGTTTACCCTTGAGATGGTAAGTATGAATTTTTAAAAAACGAGTGAGTTGGATACATGCTCTGCTTCTCTTTTTGATGTTCTGGTTCTCCTTGCTAAAAAGGAAGTCTGCTTGTTAGCTTGAGCTGTTTCCTGAGTCCTTCTTGCTGTGTGTATAATCAGGGATAAATCTCTTTCAAAGTTATCTGCAAGGGTAGAGATATATTGTGATTGCATGCTCTTGGGATTCAATCCTGGGATCATTCAGTGCAGTGACAAGCAACTACTCACTTGTTGTGTGTGTGAAGATTGTGATATCTAAATCAAGTGTTTCTTGCAGGTTTAGGATCCTGCTGTATTATATAAGCCAAACATAGTGGGCACCAGAGCACGCATCCTGATGTATTTTATAAAAGTTTCCTTGAATAGACTTAATGGAACTAGTCTGTAATAGAAATTATATCCAATTTAGTGGATGTATTCCTAGTGCTAACAGATACATGGTGGAAATTACCTTGTTAAATGTTAATTCACCAAAATACTTGCATGAATTCAGAACTGATACATTCAAGTATGAATTCAGACTTACTTACATATCCCATGGTCCAGACCAGTTTTGGAGCTTAAAAAAATATCATGACAATGACATGAGGCAGAAATGAAAGTGAGATGCAAAACAGAAGGAAACACTTGAAAAGAAATTGCAGGAGACTTCACAGTGTTGTCTGGATTGAGTGTCTTAAGTTGGGCTTTGTGTTCCTCCACCTGTATAATGCTAATATCTTTTCTACTAAATTGTTTCAAAGGAAAGCATTTGGAAGAAAAATACTTGTTTTCTCTGGTTTTTTTATTCAAATATTCTAGGGTAGATATAGCACATCTATGCCTTTACAACCTAAGTGTTATTCATAAAAAGAAATATTTTGATTCGGAGCTTGAACTTATGGCCTACATTAATGAAAACTGGGATAGATTGCATCCTGGTGAGGTAAGTAAGTAGAATACCCTTTCTTGTTTCTAAATCACAGTGCATACATATGTCCTGAAAGTTGACAAACTGTGAACTGTTTTACTCTGGATGTTAAATCCTTTAGTACTTTAAAATCTGATAATCCCAAGTAATGACATAATTTTTTATTTCCTTGCAGAAATAGAATGCTTTTTAAGTGGTGCATATTTTTCTAAACTGTAAAATTTCTTCAAGTCATCTATGCAACTAATTACTTGCATGGTGACTTTCCATTACTTAGCTGTTTATTCTGTTGCATATCTACATTCTGTTGTAGTTTCATGATTCTTTGATTACATTGATATTTTCATGTGCTCTGACCTGAAAATCTAAGTGTAGAATTGAAGGCAGAGTATATTGCATGTGAAGACCATGTTCAGGGTCTCTAAGGTGTAACACATTGTTTGTGTTAAATATTCTACTCAAAAATTTCTTCTTTCCTTCCTAATTCTTACAGTGGGGGTGATCAGTTTGTATCCAGTTTGTTTTTGGTTCTTTTGCAGTTGGATTCAGCTACTTGTCAAGACATTTTTATTTTAGTTCATTACTATACTAGTTATTTTCCCAGCTATTTGATTACTGAGAATTTATCTTAGCATTAAAGAAAATCCATTTACTCAAGTAGATTGACTTCATATTTAACTAAGAGGACCAGTGTTGATCTTGGTTCCTTCATATGAGGTTAGATGCAAAAATTTGACTTAAGTTCAAAGTGGGCTACTGCTAGTAGAGTAAGTACTCTTTTTTTTTTTTTTTGTGCATGAAAATTGTTTAGGTTTTTGAAGGTTTTTTTAAATATATGGCATATAATGGGTTGAAATTTTTCATCAGTACATTCTACTTCCATACTTCAGTAAATTCATAGAACTGTAGTCCATTTTTATTAGCACTCTCAATGTGAGAACCAAGTGTATGTTCTTGGTTGAGATAAGTAACTGTTTTTCATAAATAATGGAAAATAGTCTAAAGAGATGCATTTTAAACTATCAGTGTCAATAGTTTGATAGAATGTTGAGCAAACACTAAAGCATTACTAAAAATTAGAGTCATGAATATATATCTGGTTTACTTTGCTATGTATGGCATCTCTTACCTAAGTGATACAGAATCAATAAATCTGTCATATGAAGTCTTGAGCTTTGAATTAAAAAAGGCTACACAAAATGTAATTTTCACACCATTTTTTCAATAGAATTAATTTTTTAGCTATCTTACTGTACAGCTTAACAAGTATGTAAGCTGTATTAATTTTGAATTTGGTTTTTCTCAGTATTGAGGGAAGTGTAGAAGAAAATGATTTGTTCATTTAACATAATACTCCTTATATTTAACATAATGTCACATGGACTGGCTGGTCAGAGCAGTGGATGAGGAGGGTGGAGCTGTCATTGGCTTGGAGCACATAAGCCATTTTGAAGAAGTTGAAAGGCTGCGCTCCTCTCTGTGCTCTTCTCCTTTCTGCTTCCAATCCATCCATGCTCAGTCTGAAAATCCTGTAACGAAGGGGGAGGAAGGAAAGGGCAGATCCAAAACAAACTCACTTCTTTAATTTGTATTTTCAATTCTTTAATATTTCTACGTCTTCAGGGGAACTACTGATTTGAAGTCTGAATGTTACACTTTTTAAGGGCTAGATTTTGAATAAATTCATACAAGCTGTATTGAAGATATTTAAATACCTTATTCTGTACAGATTTTAAATGCCTTTCATGAAGTTGGCAAAAATTGGCTTGAAAAATCTGATTAACTTTAGTTAATTAGGGAAATGAGGGAAACAGAAATTAGTCACAGAAATAATTAACATGTACAATATAGTAATTTTAGGGGTTTTGTGATCTCCTTAAATTGCCACTGTTAAAAATGACATTTTAGTTTTCTTCTCCACCTATTTATACTTGAGTAAGAGGAAAAGGCTTTTAGCTGTAGGTAAGACAGTAGTAAATGGTGGGGTTATCAGAACTCCTAAGCCAGTAATTTTTATCATGTTGTTATTTAGAAAGCATTAAATATGTAGCAATTTTTTGTAGTCTAGCATTGCAAGACCTCTAGATAGCAATGGATTGAACAGAATGCACACGGTGAAGATGGAAAAGAAGTTGTTACTTTCTTTGGCTAAAACCTCTTGAGCACCTCCATTACTTTTGGTGGTCAGGTAGACTTTCAGTCTTGCTCAAAATTATGTTAAAATGTTGGGGTTTATGAGTACATTTATTCACTTATTTTTAGCTGTTAGGATGTTGAATTCTTTGACCTTTTCTCTCTGTCATGTTTGGTGAGGATTGTATTATTTAAAAATTATCTGATCCTGAGTTTTTTGTTGAGTTTCTTTGAGCTGTAAATGTTGTATGGTCTGGTCTTTAGTGTTCATATTAATAGTGAAGCTTATAAACTGCTGACAGCTCTATAATTACAGATAAATTTACAAGTTTTGGCATGGCAACTGGAAACAATGGTAGTTCTTGAATTGAAAAGTAGATAAATATAAATGTAAGCAATCTAATTTTACTTTCTGCTACATAAATGTTGTGTCCATGTGATAGTCACCACCATACTTGTTATGTTTTTCTCTGTAATTATTTATGCAATTTTTCAGAGAGAAAATTTCATGTTTCGAAAGCTTGATAGGGAGTAGTTAGTTCAGGCTTTGGTGTAAGGAGAGAGGTTAGGCTGGGTCTTAGCTAAAGGGTCATGAAAATACATCTACTGGTTTGGTTTTTTTTAATTCTAATAATTTTTCTGAGTGTTTTTCTTTCTTTTTTGTATCAAGTTGAGTAGTAGTAAAAATATGAATTGGGTCCTATAGCAGGATTTTGCCATAATTCTAATAAATAATTAGGTTATTTTGTTTATTTACTTATCCTCTGTTTGCAATCTCAATTAATTTAGGAGTACATACAGAAAACTTTTTGTTAGGAGTCTTGGAAGGTTGTTGGGATCTTGGGAGTCCTGTTAGGATTGCATGGGACAGCAATCTGGTGTTATGTTCCCTCACTGTACTAAAAGGTTTTTGAGATATTTTTCTTGTACTTCTTAAAAGTGAAACTCATTCTATGTCCTGGGCTTGATCCTGGCATTAATTCTGTGGATGTAAATCACAAAATGTATGGGATTATGGTTAATATGCACAGCTAATATTTCCTTAATGTACTTCACATTCAAATCTATAGTTACAGTGATTAAAAGTAACTGGGATCTTTCTATTACTAAAGAATTTGATAGGTTAAATGATTTCTTAATACTTTACAGCTGGCAGACACACCAAAATCTGAAAGATATGAGCATGTCCTGGAGGCATTAAATGATTACAAGACTATGTAAGTTATTGGTACTTGTTGTTTTAAATGTTGTTTGCCTGTTTAATCTGACTTAGGTTGCAGTCTTCAGTCTATGTGATAATCACTCTGGCTGTAGATAGCACTTAAAGTTTTAAAAAATGTTTCTATTACAAGCTATAACATTACATAGCTGTTTTGATTGTGACCCAGACCAAGAGAAAAGAACCATTTTAACTTCTGTTCTCCTTCCACTTCACATTCTGTTTTTGAGAAGGAGGATTGCAATGGGGTAAAGAGGGGAATAAAGTAGCATTTAAATGGCTATTCTCTTTGCATAATTTTGTTTTGCAAGTACCATGCTGTTGTAAAAGTTGAGTTCCCTGGTATCAGAACTTTAACAATTAGTTTAACATCCATCTAGGTTTATGTCTGGAAAAGAAATAAAGAAAAAGAAGCATTTATTTGGCTTGAGAATTCGAGTTCCTCCTGTGCCACCGAATGCTGCTTTAAAGGCTGATAAAGAGCCAGAGGGAACTTCACATGAGTTCAAAATTAAAGGCAGAAAGTCATCTAAACCAATCCCTGATGTGAGGTAAAATAACCCAGTCATTCTAGCTGTCTTGTGGTTAATTTGGGCTACTTTAGTTATTTTTTGGTGCCAACAAAAAAGGCTTTTTCTTTGTAGAATGTTTTTTTTTTTCCAAATTAATTGTAAAGGCAGGTTATTTGTGAGAACAAGGTCTTAGAACAAATTTCTATTAGGATTCTTCTAAAAAATCAACATTAAATTTAGCAGTAAGAACAACAGAAAATATCCCAACTTTGCTGTCATTTGGGAAACAAAACCTTTTGCCTTACTGGATCTCTTAAGCAATAATCTAACTAGAATTCTCAGTAGGAAGGATGTTGGGAAATAGTAACATGTATTGGTAAATGTGCCATCTTTTTCACCAAGAGTGGTCATATGAATAAATGATATTTAACACTTGTTCATTCCTCTTCAACATTTGGGAATCAGTAATGTCCCTAGAAGTACATTGCCTCTGTTATGTTACTATAAAACAAAACCATATAGCTTTGTACCTGCAAATTTTGATTTGCCAGAATCACCTCATTTAATACAATGTTTAGAAATAAGCATCTCATTGTTATTCATTGCCAAAGGAAAACATGTATTCAATGAAAACTATCATCAGTAATACAGAATAAAATACAAATTTTCTTCTAGGGAATTAAGTAATGGTATAGAAAGAAAGGGGAAAAAAAAATCAGTAGGTCGTCCACCCGGGCCCTATACAAGAAAAATGATTCACAAAACTCCAGAGTCATCTCCTCTGGTAAGGATATTTCTTCCCCCTTCCTCCCTTCCTTCTAACTGCATCATAAATGTTGAAGAAAAACATAACAAGTTAATATGAATTTATGTTCTCCCCTCCTTGCTTGCAAATAAAATCAGTAAAAAAATTTAAGTGCCTTTTTTTTTTTCCCCCCCTTAGGATAATGAACCAGTTCCAGTGATAGAGAACCCAGCCTTGGAATTACCATGCACTGTTGGGTAAATTAAAAGAAATCCCTCCCATCAAACATTGTAACACCATGTAATTTATCTGTTTGCTGCTGAAATGTCAGCTCAGTTTTTAATGTAAGATTATTTTTTTGTCTGGCAAACCTGTTATCTTGCAAAACAGGAAATCTGATGGAACTGCACATTCATCCAATACCTCAGATGTGGAATCCACAGGTGCTGCCAGTATGAAAGAAACTACCTCATCTAACATTTCCAGACATTATAGGTAACTACTCAGTTACTCTATCTGCTATGAAGATCAAGATTTGCAATGTATTAATCGTACTAAAACTTTCTCAGAGTAGAGCTATAAATAGCATGGGGAAACACAAAGAAATAGGATGAGTGAAAATTTGTCTTTAATAGTTCTGTTTACAAGTCAGAGATTGAGGAATTTTTGGTGCTTGCTAACCACTGTTTTTGATATAAAATATGTGGCTAAGTGACATTTACTGAAAAGAATTAAACTGCAAATATTTTCTGAGTTTAGTTTTTTATTAGTGGTCACAATAGAACTGATGTACTCTGAATTAATTTTAGCAGCTTGTTGTTTTTTAGGTTTTATATGTTCATGTTATAAAATACTAAGCATGCTGTGATTTTTCTATAGTCAATAGAGTATGAAAAAAATCTGGCACATAATTTATAAATAAATTATTAACTGCAGTCAACCTTCCTTCACGCAAAAACTTTTCCCTCTCTCAAGTTCAGCAAATAGAAGTTTCTCTTTTATTGACGTACGTGGATTTTACTATTTTGTCTCCCCTTTCTGGTTCATACTATTGAGTGCTGTCATGAGTCATTTTGTGTGCACTGTTGATACACACTAATTTTCAAATAGCTCATGTTTAATTAGAGTTATGAAATTGTTAGCAACTGTAAGTGTCTTACTTACAGTTACCTGTCAGTAGGCAATAAGTATTTTTGGAGTGAAAAAACAACAAAAGTTATTACATGAGTGGCATGCAAATAACTGATGATACAGCATACATGTTGAATTCCCTTGGAGTTAATGCTGTGGGGTTTTATTTTCAATAGTTTGTCTGCATTCCCTTGGAGTTAATGCTGTGGGGTTTTATTTTCAATAGTTTGTCTGCATTCCCTTGGAGTTAATGCTGTGGGGTTTTATTTTCAGTAGTTTATCTGACTCGAGAAAAAGGACTCGAACAGGAAGAACTTGGCCTGCTGCAATACCACATTTGAGGAGGAGAGGCCGCTTTCCACGAAAAGCACTCCAGACTCAAAATTCAGAAATTCTCAAAGATGATGAGAGCAAGGAAGATTACCAGTATGATGAACTCAATACAGAGATACTTAACAACTTAGCAGATCAGGAGTTACAGCTCAATCATCTGAAGAACTCCATCACTAGTTACTTTGGTGCAGCAGGTAGAATAGCTTGTGGGGAAAAGTACCGTGTGTTGGCTCGTCGGGTGACACTTGATGGAAAGGTGCAGTATCTGGTGGAGTGGGAAGGAGCAACTGCATCCTGACTGTAGGACTGAACATTATGTTCACTGCACTGTCATCTGTAAGTACAGCTCATAATGCAGAGCCACGAGAGAAATGGTCTTTAAATGTGTTTCTAAAAAAAACAAAAAACAAAACCAGTTTAGCCTTAACGTGTAATTGTTATCATTACAGCTCTTGTGATAAAGACTTATCTTTTTAAAATCTGATCTGAGACTTAAATTTTTTAATCTGAACATTGTTAGATTGTTTTAGGTTGGGATATTTTGGGTTACAATTGCTTAAAAATGTGCATGGTGTTTAAAAAAAGATGACATTTTCTAGAGAACATTCCATGGATACAGTTATTGTGATTTAGAGAAAATATTATGTAGATAGCACAAATATTTGAAAAATCTTGGTTTGTTTTCTTACCCAAATGTTTGCAGAAATGTATTTCTATTTCAATACTTTCTAGATTTCATAAGTGCAGTGTATATAATGCCTACTGAAGACTGTAAAATACTGAAGTTTTCTTTCAAACAAAGTGTAAAAAAAAAAAAAAAAGAAAAAAAATATATTGAGCCTGTAAATTGCTCTGTGACCAGACTTCATTGTCTTCTTAATATATTCAGTGTGTGTGCGTGTGTGTGTGCCCTATACCAAGGAGTATATGCACACACAGCCCTGGCGTGTATATAGATGTGTGATTGTGACCTATGCAATACAAATTATGGGATCGGTCAGCTTCTGAGAATACATCCCATAATTCTTTTTTCAGGAATAGTTGCCAGTATTTACACAGCAGCATTTCTTCTCAGGCTTATTGGGTGCTGTTGCTTTTTACGTACTAAGGAAAAGTGTCCAACCAGTGCAGCGTGTTCTGGCAGTGGGTGCAGTCAATGATGGTCATGTGCTCTACATTCCATTATTTTCCATTTGAATTAACCAATAAAAAAAAAATGCAGGATCTGAAGATTTTGAAATTATTTCTACTGGATATAACAATTTGAAAGCTCTTGTGGCACTCTGATTGTAAATTTCATGTCCCAGTTATAAAGTAAGTTGACAGGAGTCGTGCAGGATTTCTACATACATGTAGAACAGTCATATTTTGATAAATGTAGTATGAATTAAGTGTATTATTGCACAGGGTCAACAAATGTTGCCATTTGAAGTAACGTTACTGATTTTATTACAACATTACCTCTTTTGTGTTTATAAAATGTACCAAGTTTTAAATTGGTAAGATTATTTTACTTTAAAAAAAAAAAAAAAGTCAAAGTCTCTTGCCAGTATTAGATATTTTTTCTTTGTCTGCTACTTTTTGAGGGGGTTTTAGCCAAAGAGTAAACAGAAGAATATTTTTACTTTGGTGGTTATTCACTGTACTGTATAAGGTTAGTTTTCTTACATGCTTACAGTTTGCCACCAAAATAAAATTATGTAACATTAACAAATGACAGAGTGGTTTAAAGTGTACTGCCTGAGTTAGTACTTATTTATTCCATTACTTGGCTATTTGACTTTTTCTGCTCATCTTGAACATCTTGAAAAGGTGACTTTTTTCCTGATTTTTTTTTTTGTTACCTTATAGCCAAAGGAAGCAGAGAAAGCTTTTTATCCTGTGTTTGGCTTATGGCTGGCTGGGTTATATTAGCTTTATAAAAATGCTAATTAAAAACTTCCACTTCTGTTTACCTTCACTAAAATGTGTGGGTTTTTTCTCACACCCTCAGCTATTAATTTAATGTTGCCTTGCCTATAGCTGCAATATTTTGATAACACAGCAACTTCATGTTAATTTTTGAATGTTTATATCTTGAGATAATGCAAAATGTAAAGCCTTTGTAACCTTACTCACACCATCTGTATTTGTCTTTATTGTTTCACTTTATCCAAGTCCTTTAATTCTAACTGAACACCAGCAGTATTTTTCATAAAGATTCTTTTAACGATAAATATTGGAATGTACTTGGGGACTTAAGTGGGGGAGGTGTGGGGAGAAAATACTTGTCAAACTTCAGCTGTCCATAGACCTAACTATTGTGAATGTTGTTTTCATTTTATCACGGTGGTTGACTTAACTCTGATGTTCAGTTTGTGTTTTTGGAATTGCTTTTCTCTTAGAATTAAAAGACCAACATTAAATGTGTGTATTTTTTGAGAGAGAAGAATGAGTTTTGATTCTGTACTCTTGTGAAGCACATACTTGGTGGCATCCTCCCATCCATCACTTCCCAATCACTAGCTTTCCTGTTCCTGTCCTGGAGACACTTGCCCTGCACATAGACACTAACTGGTGTTCCAGCTATGGTTGAGGGATGCTTTGTTACAAGGTGTCATGTACTGGAAAATGCTGCAATAGTGCTGCTGAAGATAGAGCTAGAGTAGTAATTAAAGCACACCTACAAATGCCTTCCTCATTTTATGTGAATTTCATTGTATGTAGTAGTGGTGTGTCTAAAGGAAAAGACAAATGTTGCTGTATGTAATGATTTCATTCTGGTATAACTCGATCATTGTATGTACGCATGTGTGTAAATATATGTAATTCAACTTTGTTGTGGTCACTGATTTAGAACCATTTCTATGTGTATATTTAATATTTTTCCATTATGTTTTATTTGTATTACAGTAGTATTTAGATAGGAGAAGTCTCTTGTGACAGTTCTAAAAATATAGATATCGCATGAACAAGACAGCAAAGAAATAATGGCACAATGCTGGTCAGAATTGTAAGATATGCATCATAGCAAACTATTTGTCAAATCATTGTTCTCAACAATACTTCAACAGGAATTTTGAATAAAACTATGGTTTTTCTATGCATGACGCATTTTGAGTGAGATTACCAAGGAATTTTGAAAAATCTCTAAGCATGGTACATGAAATGAAGGTCAATATTTTAATTTAACATGATGAAGACATACATTAAAAAAGGCCTTTAAAGGTGAAGACAAGCACTTTATTTTCTAGGGGCTGGGGAGATAATTTAATAAACAGAAAAATGGTTTGTCTTTGGAACATCCTACTAAAGTGATCTTTAGTGTTATATTTTAAGGAAATTGGTGAATGGAGATGGAACATACCAAGGCTGATGATGGAGCTATAGAACAGAGTGATAAGAATAAACTGGACAGAAGCATCAGTTCTGTGCACAGAGGGAAGAGGAGGAGTCTTGCAAATGCTATGCTGGTAATATGTTCAGGCACATCTCTAGTTGGATCACATCTGTCTGAATGAAAAATAAGGGCATGATGGAAGAAAATTACTTTTTGTAGAAATGGAGAAAAGGGTTTAGGAAACATTGAAACATTGTTTGGTCAATGTTGAACTTAAATACCCATATTGAGGTGTCAGATCTATTGATATCCTAGTTTAGTTAGAAAAACATTTATGCATGAGTTAAACTTTGGGGTTGTCAATGTTTGTAGAAAAGCTTGCTGGTGTTTAGGTTTTTTTTTCTAAATTGAATCATCTATAGGTGAGGTGTGGTGAAATGAAGGACAGGGGAAAAGAGTCTCCTTTGGAGTCCCTGAAGGAAGCTGGAGGGGGAAACAACTATCTTTTAGCAAAGGTAGTACAGGACAATAGAAAGGAAAACAAAAGACCAATACCATTACAAGCTGTGCACAGTCTGAGAATGAGCTTGAAATTTTATACTTTTGCTGTCTTTCAATTTTGTCATTCAGCAACAATGCAACAAGATGTTTTGTATTGTCTTGGTGTTTTAATGTTCTGCATTTTTGAATCCCTTCATGTTCTCAGCTAGCCCATCTCTATTTTTTAAATCAGGTTTGTACATATTTCAGTATTGAGTTCCATATACCATAATATCAACAGTTATTCTGGTTTTCATTAGTACCAAAATATTTTGCCAGCAGATACTAATTTTTCAAATACAGCTGTAGTTCATACCATTCTTTTCATATAATCTTCTAATCTGTTTACTGATACTATTTCATCAGTGTGCGTTTTTCTTGTTCTAATTTATGTTTCCAACTTCTCAATTTGACAATATTCAGATTGCTTCCCATTGTTAGCTACTTAGTGTTTGGCACTGATTGACTTCCATGTGGTTTTGGTTTCCTAGTCTTCTGCTTATTTAATGTTCACCACAGTACCTTCCAAGCCTGACATCTGCAGTTTTACTCTTAACAAGCTTATTTATTTCAAAACCTGTTTTAAAGCAGGAAGCTAATTAATAGTTATATCTTGCTCTAAATAAAGTTTTTTTTTTCTGTAAGCACCACTTCCAAGCCCTTCATTTGTGCTTTGCCATTCTCTAATGAATACTCACAACACTTGGCTGTTGTTGCATTTGCTTGTGTCAGCATCTGGTGGGATAGTTACTGCTTTGCTGTGTACCTGTTTTCCTCATTCATGATCATTACTGGTTGCCTGCTTTGTGTTATTTGGTTGCTCTAATCTGGTATTCATAACTTCACAAATTGGTTGCATGATAGCAGAAACCAGAAAGTACTACGGGTAAAATTCTAAAGATCATCAACAATAGTTGGAAATTGTGGGAAAGGGAATTAAGGGACAATTGGTGAGGTTTTAACTCCATTAAATCCTTAAGCATAAAAGAAAAGGACTTTTATTAGATGTTTAATCTCAGGTCTCCTTACATGAGGTTGAAATGTGTAGATATATGCTTCTAGAACTTTTCTTTTGGCAAATCTATGCTTTCCTTATGTACCTGTGTTCCACTTTAGCAGGTAGCAGATGGAGAATGAGGATGGATATTGTTTCCAGAAACTTGGTATGCACGAAGGGAAGAAAGGAGTTTGTGAACAGTACGGGTTCCGAGTCTCATTAACTATTGTCAGCTATAGCACTTGATAGCATGAGAGATGTAACTCAGATGCTTCTGGTGAAACTTCAGCAGTGTAGGTGGGCTTACTACTACTTTTAAGTTGTTTTTCATTATTTTATTACTATTTTATTATTTTTGTCTGTGATAAAAATCAACAGTTATGTAAATTGTTGGTTTTGAAAACAGTAAGTTATGTAGCTTTTGATTGCATTTTTAATTTCTGTAGCGATTTGTGTAAATTGTGCTTACTCACCTCTGTGCTGTGTTACTCATACAGCATTCCTCCTGTATGAATAGTGAATTTCTGTGAGAGTACTGCTGGAGCCAGGGGGAAAG